TATAGACATAGATATAGATTTTAAAAGTTTAGATTGTTCAAAATTTTGAATTGCATTTTAAGTTTGTCCAAAATTTGAATTCAGGCCGATTTTATTAAGTAATTGTTGAAAAAATCACTACAAATTTGTTGGAAACATTGTTGATTCTGAACAAAATATAAAAAAGTAAAACTGAAATATAATTTTAGATCATTGAAAAAAAAATCATGTGTTTGAGTAGAAACAAAGTTACCTATTGCTAGAGATTTTTAAATTCTTGAACAAATCCTTAGAGCATGATTGGATATAAAAAATTTTTGTTTTGATTGGATTTTTGGTTTGGGTTGGTTAAATATGAAAAAGTTGGTATGGTTAGTTATTAGTGGATATATTTAAATAATATTTGAAATAAAATAATTAAAATTAAATTAATGTAAATGTAGGAGAGAGAAGATGTGAGGTGATGATTAGTTAAAATTATGTGAGTTGATGAATAGTGAATTAAGGTTGATATTGTGTGTAAGAATGATTGATTGATATTATTTAATTATATTGATAATATTGATGATAGTGGGGTTGAGTTAAAGTTGAGTTAAAAAAAGTGGTTGAGTTAAAAATGATTGGATTTTTTTGGGTTGGATTTATATTCAATCATGCTCTTAATGATTTTTAAATATTACAAATTTTTTAATGCAATTTAAATTCATCCAAAATTTGAATTTAGTCCGACTTTTTGGAAACATCTAATGAGAAAGAAACTTGAATTTAAATGTTCACATAAAAATCGTAAATGAGCATTTTCAACACAGTAGAAATATTAATAGGTTTATATTTGTTGTCACATAGTGTAGTGTGAACGAAACTCCATTTCGCCCCCAAACATTCTTCCTCGCGCGAACAATCCGGCATCCATAGATTTAGCTCACTTTATTTCGATTATGATCACCTGCAATAAGTCGGGATGTTACCAACTTTAGCACTTTGAATTGAGAGCACAAAAATTGTGTGTGCGTTGGAAGTATGTGTTGTATGTAAAACTAAAATTATATAGTTATGTATAATATTTGTACTTCCTCTCTCAATTGTTTATTACAAGCTATTATGAGAATAATCCTTATACTTTCGGACTTTATATTGAGATTGGATATAAGAAATTTAGGTTAGTTACGTTTGACTAAATAAATAAACTAACGCGTAGTCCATGTGATACACGGATAAATAATATTAATAATAATTATAAATTAAAGGTATGAATAAATAATTTAAATAATAACTGTAAATTAAATATTTGGAGTTAACAAACAATATGAAATTATCTTGTATAAAAGAACATAAAACATATATGTTTAAAAATATATATAATATTATATATTATTCTTGAAAAATGTAAAGTCACCTAGAATTTTTCTAAACTATGTTGTAAGGACAAAATGTATAAAAAGTATTTTCTAAAGACAAAATGTATAAAAACGCTTAAATGTAACCTCTATAAATATGTACATATATAGATATAGTCATATAGATGTTAATGTATAGAAAATGTATAAAAATATTTAAAAGTATTATATGCGTGAATAATGGTAGTATAGTCTAATTTTATAGAGTAGAAACAATATCATTGTTATTTTTGTTTAAGTATATTAATATTATCTGTATAATAAAATTCCATTCACTACAATAATCACAAAATGTTATTAGACAATAGGTAAAACAGAAGCTTGAATTGCCCGTTATTAGACAATAGATAAAACAGAAGCTTCAATTGCCCTTCTTACCTAGGTTTCAATTTCCCTAACATCTTTCTCCAAAAGTGTAACATTTTATTTTATTTGTAACATTTTTCCTACAAAATTGAAGTGTAACATTTTATTTTATTTTGTATCACTTTCATGTTTTTATTGAAACTGTAACATTTTATTTTATATTTTGTATCATTTTCATGTCTTTATTGCAACACAACTCTACTCTTTCTGGAACACTTTTCTTTACAAATCATAATTTTTTATATCAATTTCAAATATTTGCAATCATTTTAAATAATTCATAATTAAATATTATTGAGAAATAGACACACAAATAACTTTTATAAATTAAATCAATAATCATGTCTATGTACAAAAAAAAAAAAAATCTGTAGAATACACTTTCCATCCACATCTAAAGCAAAAACATTACATTCTAAACGTTGTTAATCGATATTAGTAAAGAGTCTAGATATCTTCAAAATATACATCATAACTGTCACCACCCTCACTTGCTAGCTCAATTCACTGCCGCCATCAATATGCCGAGGTAACAAGGCCCGTGGATTATAACTTTGTTGCTTCACCTACACCATCCTGATGAAAATAAGGTTTTTTTACATACAACCAATTGTTAGTACGCATCTCAAAGTAACAACCAAAATATCCTATATATCACATTTCATCGAACTTAGAATTATTTTTTTTTTTTAGTTCAGAAGCGCCCATTTCACATCGTGAAATATCAGGTTAATGCGACAGACCCAACCATTGCTTAGGGCAATTCATCACTACTCATCGAACTTAGAATTAAACCGTTAAAACCTACCAAAAGCATCATATCAAGGATCTTTAAGTATTTTCAATTCTGAAATTAAAGCGCAAACCCCTAACAAGTTACATCAACTATAAGGAGTATCACATAATACAAGTTTACTTTTCCATCTAGAGGTCTTTTCAATGGCTCTCTATAAAAGTAAGTTTAAAGAAAAAAATAATAAAATAAGAGCTACTTAATAAGAATAAAAATGTAAAGAAGGGAAGAAAAAAAAAAAAAAGAAACGTACAGTAGCTTAAAGTGTTGTCCTATTTTTTCAACCCACAATTTCTCTACAACTAAACATACATAAAAAAACCAATTTTCACTAGACACACATAGGTTCAAAGATATAAAAGAGGTAATGGTTACATAAGACAATATTTTTCCCAACAAAATTGCTAAAGAAACAAAGACACTTGTTTCACCACTAAGGTGTAGGACAAATTGGCTTATCGTTTTCCAAAAACTTCACTTAGAAAGCAAGAGGACTACACACATATAATGGTTCCATTGGGGAGCTTATGCTCAATGGGACCTGAAATAACATAATTCTTGTTCATTTCACTATAGAGGCTCCATCTATCAAGTTATTTATCAGAGTTATAGGTGGGTTATGGGCAATGAACTTCTAAACATAATAAACATATAATATAATCATCCCCACTCCGCTACTCGTTTGCTCTGGCCTAACAACGTTCATCATTTGGTTGCATAGATGGTTAGTTGAACCCTACTCATTTCCATGTGTTAGCTTCTTGATAATATTTATACAAATACCCCAAACAACTTAATCTTTAATTTTTCAAACTTTTGCATCCTAAGTTCCATCTCCAAATGATACATATGCAAAATGTGACGACACATAGAGTTTAGCTCAACTAACCTTCCAAAGCCAATGTAATCTTCCAAAGAGCTTGCCTCCACTAACTTCCAAAGTTTAAGTAACCTTGGCATGCTAAGCTGTTCAACCTTGCTTGATCTTACAATGCAAAATATTTAAAAAAAAAAAATGAAAATTAGATGAGGCCCAATAAACACAAATTTATAAAAGTATCCTTCTTTATAAGATTTCATCTGTGAGCATTAACTATCTCATCTCTGCCAAAGTAAAGAATACTAATCATGTCAAGTGCTTTGATCTTTGTTATTTCAAATCTTAAACACTACATCTTTTCTTTATGTTATTTCTTGCTCTTTTTCTGTCTCTCTTCAATGGTGAAAACTAACGACTATATCAAAAACAAATTACCAGTATGTAATTTTTCGATGCCCTTACCAAATGGTTCATCCTCTTCAAGCCAAATAAAATCCCGTAAATAGCTTATCAATTTCATAATACCAAGATGAAACTAGTACAATATTTCACCCAAAAAAAAAAATTATAAATAAAAATTACACAAGTTATGGCCGACATAATTTCATGGGGAAAAGAACATCACCATGGCAAGGAAAATCAGAGAAAATTGAATAACACATACTAAAACAAAACATTAACTCGACAAGTGACTGAAGAGGAAGTGAAGAGAGCGCTCTTTGAACTTAGTCCTAGCAAAGCACCGGGCATTGAGGGTATGTCGCCCCTTTTCTTCCAATTCTCCTGGGACATTATCCATAAATGCATTTTCGGAGCTGTTCAGGATTTTTTCTGTTGTGCTAGAATTCCTAAAAGTGTTAAGTAGAGTCTGTTAACCATACCCTTATCACTCTAATACCCAAAATTAAAAACCCAACCAGAATTTCTCACTATAGACCCATTAGTCTTTGTAGTGTTGTCTTCAAGATTATTTCCAAAATTTTGGCTTCGAGAATTAAGTCTGTTCTCTCTAGTTGTATTAGCCTTAGTTAGGCGGCTTTTGTTCCGGGTCGACAAATATTAGATAATGTAATTGTTGCTCAAGAATGTATGCATTTTATTAAGAATCACAAAAAAGGAAAAAAAATCTTTTGTAGCTATTAAGCTTGATATGGCTAAGGCCTTCGACCCAGTCGACTGGAATTTTTTGGTTGTTGTTATGTACAAAATGGGTTTTAATGCTCAATTCATCAAGTGGGTTTTGGCTTGTATCGACTCGGTCAGTTTTTCCTTTAATTTGGGTGGAGAGGTCTGTGGTTTCTTCAAATCTACCAGAGGAATTCGACAAGGAGACCCCATCTCTCCTTATCTTTTTATTTTGATCACAGAGGCGGCGTCAAATTTACTAAAGCAAGCGTGCGCTCAGAATGATCTTAAGGGGATTACAACTTGCAAGAAGGGGCCTATGATCACTCATCTATTCTTTGCGGATGATGCGCTACTTTTTTGTGAGTTGTCCAACAATTCTATACGCAAGCTAAAGAAAATTTTAATCGATTATTGTGATGCTTCAGGCCAGTTGGTGAACTTTGAAAAATCCTCTTGCTTTTTTAGTAAAAACACAAATATTGGGCTGAGGAGCGATGTGTGTAACTTATTAGGCGGGATGCAGGAACAAAGAAATGCCAAATACTTAGGGCTCCCTATGGTGATAGGGAGATCAAAGCGGGATGTGTTCAAGTTTGTGGAAAAGCTGGGCCAAGGCAAGTATTTTCCTAAGGGGGTATCTGCAATGCTTCGGTGGAAAACCAAGACTCTTGGGTCTGGAAAAGCTGGGTCAAGGCAAGGGCAGCTCTGAATCTTGGTCTCAGGTACAAGATGGGTGATGGAAGGAATATTCGAGTTTAGGATTCCCCATGGATTCCCAACATTGACAATTTTAGGCCAAAAGGAAAGAGGGGCAGGGATGACAATGTTAAATGGGAGTCTGATCTAATAGATGACAATGGGAGAGTCTGGAATAAAGCTCTGATTCAAAACATATTTTCAGCCAAAGAAGCAGAGGAGATTCTACAACTTCCAATTGGTGAACAGGGCAGAAAAGACAAGCTTGTCTGGATTTTTAACAATGATGGGAAATTCTCTGTCAAAACTTGCTACAAAGCAATCATGGATCGAAATGAGCTAACTAGATGTCAACCAGAATCAAGTAGAGGAGCCACAGCTTCGAAGAAAATCTGGAATAGCATATGGAAAATCAAAATAAAGCCCAAGCTCAGAATCTTCTTGTGGAGGTGTGTTCATGACTCTCTTCCAGTGGCAGAAAAGCTTAAGGTGAAAGGTATCATCCACGACTCTTGTTGCTCTATATGTGGTGATAAAACTGAAACTTTAATGCATGTTCTTTTTAATTGTCAAAGAGCTCAAAATATCTGGAAAATAGCTGCTGTCAGGTGGGATAATCCCTCGCTTAACACTGATGATTTTAGAAGTTAGTGGGATATTATTTGTCATGCCAAAAGAGGTGAATGCTGGGAGGACAGGATTGAGCTTACGGTTTATATGTTATGGTGGTTATGGAAAACCAGGAACAACTAGATTTTTGATAAAAAATTATTATCGAAAAAGGAAGGTTCTGACAGGGCAATGGAGGAATGGCTTGAGTTTAAGGAATTAAATGTGTTTTCTCAAAACTGTAGAGAGTCGGATTTGAATGTTTGTCACACTGTAGGGCAAAGGACAATCTTTGTCAGTGCATGTGTTCTTCCTTGTGTGGGCAGTGGCTTTGGAGGAATTGTAGTGGAAGATTCAGGGGTTCTTTGTCGAGGCTGGGAAGTCTTTCTTGATCAATCTCATGACCATGCTGAAACTTTGTTACTGGGAATTAAGCACGCCCTTTGGAAAGCTTTCTTATTGAACTGGAAAAGCATTGCTGTTAGTGTTGATGACGAGGATATGGCTCAAGCTCTTCAGGCAGGAAATGATTTTGAAGGTTCTAGTAGAATCATATCTGAAGACATCTACTCCCTTAAAAATCTTTTCGGCTCTTGTATTTTTTTGTTTAACTTGCATATAGCTTGGGCTGATTCTTGTGCTAGTTTAGCTTTGAATTCGGTTATATCTTGTAGCAGTCATGATTGGTCTAATGCTTGTCCGGCTTGGTTGTAATCTCATTTCAGCCAAGTGCTTTGTTTGATCAGTAGATCATTTGTGTAATTAACGTTTATTTGTGTTTATATGAGTATCGTATCTATCGTTGCCGAAAAAAAAAAACACATACTAAAACAACAGAAAAAATAAAGAAAAATATTTCTCGGTTTGAATAAAACAGAAAAATCTTTCTTTTTATCCTTTTCATACTTTGTAGAAGTGTTTGTATACTTGTGGAGGAATCTACTTTAAAGTCCACGTGTTGGCCATAAAAGTAGCTAGGGTAGTAGAATGTAGGAACAATTATTTAGAGCATCTCCAATGGGCTGTTAATTGTAGAATTGTGGAAGGAGTTCAATATAAAATGTCTCCAACCGTGAATGTCTAGATTCTATTCATAATGACATGGCAAGAGAGAGAATGAATTAATTCTAGAACTACTTCTACATGTAGAAGTCATGTTAGACATGGTGATCCATATTTTTTAAGTTGAATAAATAAATTATTGGAGACTTTTTATGTGTTTGAACATCTATTCCTTACACGTAGATGAAAGACCATCTATTTAATTGCCACATACACTACAATTCATGCTTGCCATTGGAGATGCTCTTAGAAGAAGAAGACAACAACATGGTGAATCAAATAGATTATTTTCCTTCTTTTCTTTCCCAATGTGCATCAACATAATAACATCCCACCTACATTCTCTCAGTCTGCAAAAAAGTGGTTAACATTATCACCAAACTCCAGACAACAAAATTTTCAGACATCGTTCAGTTAGGAAAGCACAAAGAATTTCTGCACCACTAATTTTCCCAATCCCCAATTGCTCAAATCCTTCTCCAATCTCATTCTCATTGCTTCTCGTTGGCCTCTATATGTATATACTAAACAATTTTCCCAAGATCATTTTTTTTTTCTCATTTTCACGAAGCTTTCGCACTCCTCCCATTTTTCTTGCTCACGGCTTCACAAACCCTGCAAGCCAACGTGTCCAGGCTGGCGGCCCTCGCCTCCCGATAGCTCCCCAAAACCCCACACCTCCTCCACGCGTGATACTCAGCATAAGCCACAGGATCGTTCGCCAGCGACTTAACATAAGACGCCAGCTCATCCAACGACCCAAACTTAGTCCCGTCTATGATCGAGTGAGGCGGCACGAAATCCCTCACGTTTGGGGCCCCGAAATATATGGGGACTGCCCCAGAGTCGAGCCCGTAGAAGAGCTTCTCTGTCACGTAGCTCTCTGTCATGGTGTTTTCTATGGCGAGCACGAATTTGTAGTGTGACATGGCGCAGTGCAGGTGGTCCCACCACTTAGGTGACTCGTTCAGGTCATTTTTGCACTCGGGGTAGAGGGAAATGGCTCGGTCGAGCCCCCCCACATTGTTCAGACACTTGCCGAACGAGTGGGTCGGGAGTTTTCCGAGCAGCTTCTTGGCTAGCTTGTTTCTTTCGGGAAGACAACGTGATGAGGACCAATAAACGAGAGTTTTCTGCAAAGAAAAAAAACATTTGTGTTAAAAGTTTCAATTTTTACTACAGGGCTTAAACGAGGACCAATGAATCGTTTTATGAGGTTTCTTAATTTCTGATTACATCGTTTTTAATGGGAGATAATTGGTAATTGCGGTTGTTGTGAAAGAGGGCCCCGGCGTAAGTAGACTGAACATCGTCTTCTGCATGATAGCTGATAAAAATGTCCTCAAAGCCTGACCTCTTTCTACCAGCTTCAAGATCCATGTATATGCGAAGCGGTTCACCCACTCGTCTCTGTTAAATGTTAGAAAAAAAACAGTTAGTATCAAAAAGGTTGAATAAAGACCTCACTGAATGTGTGGTTGGCAAAACTATTTGACCTGAAACAATAAAATATGAGTCAAATCAAGTAAACAGATAGGCTAGAGCATAAATCTTGTTCCATATAGGTATTACAATGAAAAAAAGCTAAAAAATGGGCAAAAATTTTGAATCCCTTGAGTCTGAATTTGCCTTGCAAGTTGCAACTCATTTCTTCATTATTCCTTTACCGTAAATAATTGATCTGAAAACCATATTTACTGGCCTACGGGAGAACTCTATTGCTGATGGTGCTAGTTATGACATAAGGTTGACAAAAACTTAGAGAAATCTAACCATTCTCCATTCAAAACAACGGTTTGTGGTTTATTTTCACTTATTACAGGGTCCTTTAGATGTAAACACCTAGAACTCAAGCCCATGAGGCACCAAAAAACCATTTATATGATAAAAATATGGGGTTTAGCAATACATAGTCAATTGGGTTTATACGACAAAGATATGGGGTTTAACAATACACAGTCAAATTGGATTAATACGATCCTGCTGAAACCTGATCAATAGCTTCTGGTCTAAATAGTCAAATTGGGTTTATACGATAAAGATATGGGGTTTAGCAATACATAGTGAAATTGGATTAATATGATCCTGCTGAAAACTGATCAATAGCTTCTGGTCCACTGATGCATTTGTATGAAAAGCTGAATAACAGTTCCTATTGGCCACTCCAAATTATATCAACTAACCAAATAAATATGAATCAGTTTTATTGCTATAAGGCTACAAAAACACATACTAAGAGTCAATATGCCTATACATATGGTATAAATTTGTTAATGTATATGTGTTATAGATTAGGGTATCAACAAGTTGATTACAATAATCCCTTAGATTGGGCCTATCGACTTATTTTACTTCTTTAATTAGACTAGCCATTAGGCTCATTGACTTATTTTCCTTCTTTAGTTTGCTCCTAGACTAGTATATATATCATTCATCATTGTACATTGTAATCTTGAGTATGAATATAAACCGGAACTCGCTACAGCAGCCAAATGAGGGCACCGATAACCGGATCACAGAGTTTCAGTGATTAACAAGAAAAGTGCATTGTTCTATGCAGAATTCATAAAAGGGCAAATCACACAACAAAAAATTTGCAGAAAAAAGAACCCATCTCACAAAGGATAGAAACTAAGCTGGAAAATATGCGAAAAATTATAATCACCTGAACAATTGCAGG